ACAAATGGATTTCAGCATAGACTGGGAAATGAAATCAAGCCACAGATTGGCAGAAAAATGAATCTGAACACTTGAGATTTGCCGAGCCATTCTTAGTAACTGCAAATAGACGGGACACTTTCTCCCGGTCATACAAATTCTATTTTATCTATGATTGGCTCAATGCTGTACAGATTAGACATATTACAACCAGTACTTGAGATCTATTTCGTTCATTGCATAAAGGATTTTACATTTGCTATCGTCATGCAAAATTGTCCCTTTGACTTTAATAATTTTTTCTTTTGAAATCAGTAATTGTTTTCATTTTTTGGTTAGTGTGTGTCTGTGAAAAGAGAAACTATTGTAATATGTGCTGAAGTCTTGTATCGAAGACATTCGTCTCCCACTCTATTTCAAAAAAGCTGTCTACATCAAATTCCTGGAATTTACGACTATATCTGCGGAGTTTAGTTCCGGCAATGTTTTTTAAAAAAACAAAAAAAGGCCCAAGAGCTACTCAAAAGAGGTTACTGAAGGAAGTGTTTTCTATGATCAATAAGAAGCATAGTTTATGAGGATCTGTGGGGGAAAAGATACCAGTTAACTCTAGACTTGAAGAGGTTAAGATTGTAGTGGTAAGGAAAAGCATCTTCCCAGTTAACCTCTACTGAAATCCGATGGTAAAAGTGTTGTGTCCCCAACCCCATCATGTTAGTTCGGTGATATATGATTACAAATGCCTAAGCTATTGGCAGAACTAAGAAGTCAGAGGCGTGGATCGATCAGCATGTACCAGTATGAAAATTTGCATACGCTTATTAATATAGGGTGTAACAGATATACCGTCTGCATAATAGTAAGACATTAGTAGCAATGAGGGTCTTCCTCTAGTTCAGCGGTTCCCAAACTTTTTTGTCATCACCCACTTTCACATGTATAATTTTTCCACTACACACTTGTGTATTAAATATACAAAGGTATGCAGAAGTTGTTTGGTAAAAGTTTGTTACTGGTTCATAAACTGACTTTATGATGCGATAAAAATAGCAAGGTGAGGCAACAAATAACTGACTTATGCAACAACTGCTGCTTCTGCATTAAAGACAGACGAAAGCAAACTTGACCATTGAAAATTATATATATATATATATATATAAAATTTAGTTTTATGATTAGGGTTAGCGTTGCAAAAAAAAAAAAAACAATTTTTGTTTATAATTATAAAATTAATAATGTACATGACTAACAACTAATAAAAATTCAGCAAATATTTTTTGTTTTTGGTCTTTGCTTCATGGATTTATATAAAAAAAAAAAAAAAGGTTATTTTGTCTGAAGAACTATTTGAATATTACTGAGCCTTTTGAAAACTATAGAAAATACCCAAAATATTCCTTGCTTGCAGGGATATTTAAATCTTATCTCAGAATGTGACTCAGTTATTCCCATTTAGCCTCCTGTTTGTTCTTATGCAGGTTCTTTGAAGATCTCCTTTTAATATTCTTTGCAGGTAACATATTGAAATAGCTTTTAATATTCAAAATCCTATACCGACCTCCATTTTCTGTTCAGTTGCTCATCACCCAGCTAACAATTCCTGTGTGATATTGCCCACCAGTGGGCAATATCACACAGGAAACCCTGATCTAGCTAATGTCTTATCATTATGTGGGAAGTAATTCTGCCACACCCTGTACTGTGATTGCAGGACACTTAAAGAATTCAGCTTGTGCTTCATCTTTTTGCCAGAGACTATTTTTTTTTTCACTCTAGTCAGCAGTGCACATTCAGATTATAATTTGAGAGTTGAGACCTTTTATATGCAGTCGAAGCAAATTCTCCACTGTAAGCAGAGGGAATGCTTGCTGGGTCTAAATGCAATCTGTAGGATGTATACAGATTTTTCTGGCTTCATTTTTTTCTTTTCAGCTATTGTGCACATATTTGTTTTGTCCTTGATTGAGCTCTGAAGAACAAGGAGCAGTAACTGGCTTAGTCCATTTTTGCTATATTTTTTGATTTATCATTTTATGGTGAATAACATTTTCTTTTTCTCATCTTTACTCATCACTTTGTTTTAATATATTTGTGCATATATTTATATATGCTTTTAAAATAGTTCTGATGCAGGCTCAAATCTGGTAGAGTAAAATGTTTTTAACCAAATATAACAGTGGATTAAAAGAACAAAACGAAAAGGGTTCTTTTCTTAAATATGATTTTGAAGGAAGTGTTACAATAGAAATAAGTATTTTAAAAACGTTTTTTTTTTTTTTTTTGGTAAATGGTTTAGTCCAATAATTTTTCAGTATCCCTTCATGCAAAGCAGCTGAATATGTTGAGTTTGAGTTGGTACATTGAGTGTTTTTTCAACTTCCATTTGCCTTTAGAAAATATTCAAATATCCCCCCCCCCCCGGGGGCCAGTTTTTCAAGTGATTTGTGCAGCATTTTGTCTTTAATAACATGACTTTAGTTGCATTCATTGTTTGGTACCAGAAATGAAGGTAGTTACAAAGAAAGTTTTCCAATATGGAAGAATATAAAATAAGAGCCAGTATAAGCCACATTTTAGCAGCTTCAGTTTAATCCAGACACACAGAATGTTATGAAAAGCACAGTCATTCCCCAAATACAAATGATGCACTTTTACCACTTCAACTGAAATCAATTTGGAACCCGTCTCTGTATAAATACAATTAGGCAGCACAGAAATCTATTCTCTGTATTTGTTTCTGCTTAAAAGAAATTATAAAATAAAAAATAAGACAAGTTGTCTAATTAGAAGTTCAGTTAACCAGAAGCTGATGAACAGTTTGGTACAAGGACAATGTATCAGGAGCAATTGCGAGGACTCCAAGAAAATTATGCCAACAAGGAATAACACGTAGAACAAAGTTTCTAATCAAAAGGTTTTATTTGACAGGGAAGTTTATTTTCACAGAGGTGAATGGCAATATGCCAAATAAAAACCGACAAAACAATACATGTCTTTTTAGCCAGTCAGTTGCTAAATGAAATCCATAACATTGATGAAAGACTAAGAATGAATCACAGAGGATCTTCATATCCTTTAAACCTGGCAGTTCTATCACTGGTAGAGAACAGAGAAAAGTCTTCATCAAAGAAAAAAAAAATCCTAGGACAACTGAGACTGGAGATGGTTTTGACAGGTCCAACATAAAACCCAGCTTGAACAGGGCATAAAAAGGAATAAACGTCAATCTGGATCTTTTTTCCCCCCATTGTTAAGCAATTATTTGCTAGAATTTGAAATTAAATAAGCATAAACATTGTAACAGTTCACCAGCCAAAGCAGCGATTTCTCCAGCTTCTAGATTCTGCAGGTTGAATAACGTGAATGTAATAAGGGTCTATGACTTGTGAATAGAATAAATATTCAACATGAATTCAACACTATCTTCAGTGAATGTGTTCCAATTCGTTTCATTTGTATAAAGATTATATACACCCGATAGTACAGCAGATAGGGAGTGGGCTTGCAGGTGGCAAGTAATGCCTACAGGGATATCCAAAAGACCCAACCAGTAAAAATGTATAAATCTAGATATAATTCTCTACTATTACACCAGCAAAGTAGACTGATAGTATGACCACACTATATCTAGTCACTAAGTCACACACAGAAGAATGAAAAGTATGCAGCATTAAACTTCATTGGGGGAAAAAAAAAAAAACATTTTCACTTGAATGGCTTATTTATAATGGAATTCAGAAATTTGTTTAAGATGAAAGATGACTTATGGAATATGTGTTTGTGTGTGTGTGTGTGTGCATAGTTGTGTGTGAGAGGGATGCAGAGATGGTAGTATTTCATATCTATTGGTTGTATTGCATACCTACTTAGAAGGCGATAAAATACCAAGTGAAATGATAAATATGTAGAATGCGCATAAGAACAATGGAGTTTCTTGCTGATGAGCATCATTATCTTTGCTGTTTTTATCAGGTTTAGACCAGCCCACTTTCTGGTCTTCATCAGAATTACTAACTTGGATCTGAGATCATTCTAGCAATTTGAAAAAAAAAAAAAAAAAAACAAACAAAAAAAAACGCTTCAACTGATAGCCTTTTGTTCCAATCGATTTGACCCATGAACAAGCAAAGGATTTGATAACGATATGCAACTTCTATGGATGCACATTAATGGAGGCTGAAAGAAGTTTGCTCTTTCAATGACCCACAAGATTGACAAGTTGGTAAGCAAGGTGACCGATTTGAAAACAGCAAGAGCCAGGCTCCAAATAAAAGGGGGAAAAAAAAAAAAGAAAAAAAAAAGAAAGAAAAAAAGAAAGAGAAGTACTTTTACTGACTAAACCAGCGCGGAATAGTCAGAATGATCCTCAGCTGCACACTTTCATGGCTATTGTCTTTGCACCAATGCCTATCTCCCCAGTTTAGAAATATCAAAAGTAACAACAATTGGGCTTTAGAGTTTTATCAGTCCTGATCAATTCGCACCACTTTCAGGTTGACATGCTCACATCTTAGAATATATATGCTGAAGCAAATACCACACATAAAATATCTATGTTTGGCAAAACAATGTTGGATTGAGTACATACATATGAATTCTATAAAATGTCTGACAACATGATTAGATTCAATTTATTTTTTGGAGGGGGAGGAGCATCATCATCATCATCATTACATCATTCCTAACATGATTATTGTAGAAAATTTTGTCTCATACAATTTTGGATATTTATAAATCAGTCAAAGATGAGGAGGAGGAAGAGGCAACATTATTCAGCTAGTTTGTGGTACTGAGAAATCACTTCATTGGCTCAACGTTCCAATACAAATTTTAATTATAAATAAGATATTTTCAATCAGCATTTCAACAAAGTTTTTGCTGAATATTACTTTTTATCTTTTAAACAACTTTGCAAATTTTATTAATATACATACATTAATTTATATAAGTGTCTTTTTTTTTTTGTTTTGTTTATTTTTTAATTTTTTTTTTTTTAATTATTTTATTTATTTATTTATTTTTTACATAGGTGCTCTAGGGAACCTTGGTATCAAAATTTGATGACCGATGATGATTGGGCCTGGAGGATGTAACTGAGTAAGGATTGGTTGAGGTGACGAATATGGCACCAGCTGGCTAGGAGCTGCAGCAATCAACTGGTGATGAAATGGATGGGATGCAGCGGCAGCAGCCAGTGGCACTCCGGCTGCAGCTGCCGGATGGAAAGCATGATGAAGTGCATGATGACCAGCCAAAGGATGGTGGGGGTGGTGGTGATGGTGATGGGCTGCTGCTGTATGCGGAATGGCAATCATAGGGCCGCCAGTTTGGATAGGGAATGCCGCCCCTTGAGACTGAAGTAAAGAGCTTGGAGGGATGATTATTTGTTGCTGGCTGAACGGGACCACGTGTTGAGCAATGACCGGACTGCCTGCATGTTGGGCATGGGGCAGCAAGATCTGCTGCTGCAAGTGCTGAGGTTCAGGTTCTGGAAGAGCCAGGATACCTGGTTGCTCTTCACACTCTTCATCAGACACCATTGTGGAAACTTGACCTTCCATTTCCATTGACTCGTCGTCATCACTTTCTTCGGCTTGTCCCGTGTCTTTTAGGCGCTGACGCCGCTGCTGCTTCATGGCATGCTTTTGTGCCATCTCTTGCAAATGCTTATACTGTTCCACCTGTTCTGGAGGGATGATGGGCTGCATTGGTGAAATCTCTTCACAGTTCTTTTTCTCATCTTCTTTTTTAGGAGGAGGGGGTGGCTGGGGTGGAGGAGACTTGGGAGGAGGCAGAGGTGGAGTCATTTCTTTCTCTGCTGTTTCAACAGTGGCAGCAGCAGATGGGGCCTGCAAAGTAGATTCTATGGGAGACTTGGACACGCTTGGATTTTCTTTGCTTGACTGCTCAAGTCTAGTGACAGATCTGGGGGTGAAGGGTAATGGCATTCTCATGGAGGCATCGACTCCACACTTGGGAGGCGGCGGCGGAGGAGGTGCATTCATGCGGGGCACATCCTGGGGAGGAATGCTGAGATGACCATAGAGAGATGGTGCACCCAGACGTGTGGCAGGCATACCAGGGATGTTGCTATTGTTGTTGTTGTTAAGCATGGGCGGAGGTGGGGGTGGTGGTGGAGGAGGACAATTAGCCATGAGAGATGCTGATGGTGGGGGTTGCGAAAGATCTGGAATTGGGTGGTGCATGAGGCAATCCCCAGTATTAGTGTAATGAGTCATAGACAACATGTGTGGTGGGGGTGGTGGAGGCCGTAATTGGCCATCAACGCTGTCCACTTTGCCAAGTTGAGCATTCTCAGCAACTTGGAAAGGTGGAAGAGGTATGTTTATCAGGCCACTTTTAGCTTCGGGCTCCCCCGTACCACCAGCTACAGTGACCTCTTTTCTGACAGCATGAAGGGTGGGAGCTACTTCAGGCCCAGGGGTAACAGCAGCTGGAGTTGACACTTTTGTCGTCTCTGCAGGGAACATTTTATCTTTACTTTTTTCTGGCCCTTCCCCAGCTTCTTCTTTGTCGTCGCCAGGCATAATTGGTAAGGGAATTTTGGCCGGGTCTAATTTCCCACCTTTTTCATTTTCACCTTTCCCCCCAGACACGTGTTTGGAATTCTTTTTTGATGAGTAATACCTATGCTCAGGACTGCTCTTGTGCCTGTAGTCCTGCTTGGAAGATTTGTGAGGTGATCTTGAGCGAGAATGAGATTTGTGGTATGATCTGGACCTAGACCGGGATCTGGAATAAGATGTCGATTTGGAGTGTGATCGCGAATAGGAATAGGACCGAGACCGACCTCTTGATTCAGATCGACTTCTGGATCGGCTACTACTGCTTGAATAAGACCGATGATGCTCACTCGAGTATGAGCGATATCGCCGAGATCGACTGTATGATCTGGAACGAGTTCTGGATCGGCGTCTACTGCAAGATCGCGATCGGGAATGTCCACGTCGATATCGATAGTCTTCGTCAGAGTAACTACTATATGAATACCGTCTGCCTCTGCGAGAACTATGCCTTTCGTATGATGCAGACCGTGACCGCGACCTTGACCTACTAGAAGAATGTGAACGTGAATGCCTGTGTTTTGATTTGTCAGAATAATGGGAATCTCTGTCACTGTAAGATGAACTATAAGAGCGGTCTCTGCTCCTACAGTGACTATCGCTATGATGGCTTTCACCAGAATAGGACTTTTTGCGCTTATAAATTTGCTTAGCAGAAGCTGGGCGGTCAGATTCGCTTCCAGAACTGTTATTTGGTTCAACTTTGACAGCAGAGCCACTCGTTTTAGACGCAGGGTTAGGGTTGTTCTCTGGTTTCTCGGAAGGTTCAGAGGGATTGGGTAATTTCTTCCGCTTTCCAGCATCTGCGGATTTGGACTTAATGTTAGGTTTGTTTTCATGAGATGCCACGTCACTGTCACTGCTTGTATCCCAAGATGCTTTGTTGCCTTCAGGATCGGAGCGAGCCTCAAATATGGTTTCCATCTTACTCCAGGTATCCTCACTCTTCAGACACATAGTTTTGGATGACAGCTTTTTCTTTTTGCTACCAACAGGAGAATCTAACTCTCCTGTCGGACGCTTTCGTTCCGTACAGGAACCAGGCTTAGCAGCACCAGCTTCATCTTTCTTTGTCTTTTTGGATTCATCAACAGATTCAAGCGTTTGGGTAGGATTATTACCAGCAACGTTTCTTTTCTTAGAGACGTCTTTTTCCTCTTCACAAACAGCCACAGTGGCAAGTTTCCCGTCTGGCTCTCCTGCTGTTGCTGCAATGACTTTTTCACCTGCTATCCCACTCGATGCCACTTTTGATTTGGCTTTCTGAACTTTGGAAAGTTCATCCTCTGAAGAAAAATTGGACGAGTCTTTGCCTGCTTGTGGAGGTTTCTTTTTCTTATGTTTCTTATTCTTCTGTTCTGTTACAGCACTTGCAGCAAGGTCTTCCTCACTCTCATGCCCACTGTTAGAATCCTTCTCAAACTCATCGTGCTTGTGTCTCTTCTTTTTGGATTTCCTAGACTTGTGCTTTTTATGCTTGCTCTTATGAGAAGTTTTACTTTTTGTAACACCATCACCATCACCACCTTCACCATGACCTTGCTCTAGGTCAGATTTTGGACCCAAATGGTGAGATCTCTTCTTCTTCTTCTTGTGTCTTTTATTCTTGGACACATCAACTGCATTTTTATCGTCTTCCTTTTCTGAGATTCCTCCTTCACTTTTGACTTCCCTTTTTTTACTGCTATGCTTCTTTTTCTTTTTCTTCTTACTTTTCATTTCGTCTTCATCGGTGTGCCGTTGAGATGACAGTTTACGCTTTTTCTTTCTTGATTTTTTCACCAAAGACTTTTCAGCTTTGGCAGCATCGGCATTTACTTGATTTTTTGTCTCTTTTTCCTTTTCATCGGCATTGTTGGGTTCAGTTTTTGAAACACTGGCATCGCCATCAGATTTTTTTTTCATCTGATTCGATGAGGTATTTTCTTCTTTGTGACACTTGTCCTTTGATAACAATTCTTTAAAATCAAAGAACAATGGATTACAGCTGTAACTAATTGAAGGCTCAGTTTTGGTATAACGGATCATTTCCACTGGCCAGTCTAATTCTAATGTCTGTTCCTTATTCAGAACTTTTAAGAAGGACATTCCTGCAGAAGGCATTTCTTTATTGCTATCTTGGCTTTTCTCTGTACATGACTCTTCCTTTACAGCTTCAGTCTTTGAATCTTTTTCTGTGTCAGCAGAATTAGGAGCTTTCTCTTCTTCTTTACCAAATGGAACTGATGAAGGTAGTTTCTGTCCCATTTTACGGTTAAAGGAAAAAGAGATACCACCTTTTGAGCCCTCAGCATCTTCTAATGCTTCATCATTGTCACATGTGCCTGCGGAGTCTGCTACATTTTGTTCCCTGCAAATAAATATATAAATAAAAGCCATGAAACTAATAAAAAACTCAGGTGTTTCATAGATAACTTTAAATACAGAAGTTACATTTTTGAAATATACAATAGCTTTCGATAAATCCTATAAGAAATCTATAATAAATAGTTTCAACAATTACTCCATATTTAATAGAAATTTTTATGCTCAGTTTGTAAATTGAATAATTTACAAGTATAAATATCAAAGTGATATTCTTAAACATAAATTTATCTTTGCAGTAGATTAAAAATATATCATTAGCTGTCAAGTATCTTCCATTTACTTTGCAAATTTAATAATTACTCAATTTGCCTGCATGGAAGCACTAAATACACCTTTATACAATTTGGTCAAATATGTGACATTTTAAGATCTTTAGAGACACTGATCATTACTGAAAAGCCTGACTTTAAAAGTTTTGCTATGGTTTGAGGCCAGAATTCATAACAGTAGTAGATTGATTATTCACAATACAGTTCCAAACAATTTGCTATGACATTTTTTGTGTATAACCAAGGGTTTCCTGGGAAATGAAGTCAGATTAAGCCTAAAGATTTTTCAAATATACAAAAGGACAAAATTAATTATTGAAAGACTCAATCTCTTCTGGCATCTATGTTCCAAAGGCAGCATCTGCTATTTTTTTCTTAATTTTTACTGAAAAAGTATCAAATATGTTGCTATTTTGGCCTCTCTGCTATTCAAATTTTGCAAAACAGTTTCATCTAGAAGAAATAGTGCAAGAGATGTATGGCTCACAAGTTACATTATTTGATTAATTGTAAACATTTAAGATTTCCATGATTGCTAAAAGCTTTGGCTTCAGGTTTGTAGAACTAAACATAGGAGACAGAAAAGCAATTTTTTATTAGCAACATTAAATATGCAAAAAAAAAAAAAAAAAAAAAAAAAAAAAAACATAATTGTGTAATAAGCGATTCACCACCACAGAGAATATCAGATGCTGGAATCAAATTTAATGTCAATCAGAAGCTTTTGATCAAAGGGGAGTTGATCTGTGGTGACCCCAATATATTCTGAGTTTACCCTAAAAGATATCAAGGCAAGCTTTGCACTTGGTGTCACATAAGAACATTTAAAGAGATAGGTGCCTAGGTGAGTTGACCAAGAAGGTAACATCATAGCCACCAAGTGCAGAATCTAGCCTCAAAGGATGTCAGTTGCTGCATCAACATAAGAAGTCAACCCAGCTGAACTTAAGATATATACACACACAAGACAACCAGATAATGGAAGATTATATGCGTGCCTGCTCTGTGTAAGGAAAACCATAGAGTCCTACATATTGGAATGGAGTCCTTTATATTCTCATGGGGAGATTAAATATCTGAAGTCATTCTGACTTGTGTGAAGGAAGGTGGAGTCACACACATCCTCATGAGAAGATTGAAGTTCCTGATACCACATAGCTTCTAGAGCCAACATTAATTTGAAAATGTCCAGAAACGAATAAACACTTTTTTAAGTATTAAAGTGTTAATTTTGTAATCAGACTTCAATAATATCACAATTGGAAAATAGCTATAAGGACAACAAAAACCATTTGGATCTTAGAAAAATAATTAAAAATTATTTGCGTTTAATCACTTTGTGATTTCAAAAAGTTTGAATTATTTGAATTTAAAAGCAAAAATAAATAAAACCTGCTCACTTTTCAGATGCTGTTGAAGGTTGACTAGGTAATACATCAACATTATCACATGTACTGCTTGATGGTGGTGGTGGTGGTGGTGGTGGTGGTTGTGCTGGTGTTTGTGTTTTTGTTGTTTCCAATGTATCTGGGTTGGTTGGCTTAACAGTTTTATTGCCAGTTGTATTATTGCTGCTAACTTTGAAAAGCTGATTGCTACCAGATTGTGGAGGGTTTGTAGTAACAGGTTTCCCTGCTGTCTTCACAGTATTACTAATATTACTATTACTACTGCTTCCACCTTGAGCACAACTCTTGTTGCTACCAAGTGAAACATTGTCAACTGGTTTGGTAGCTGTATGGTTACATGCTTTTACTGCATTCTCAGTGGGCTTAATAGATGCAGAAACACTTCCAGCACAACCAATCTTGGTGGTCACAGGATGTGGACTGGCTTTGTTGACCGGATTCAACTTCTCTGCATTCTTCCGGCTACTCTCAACTGCATTATTCATGCTATTGATTTTGTTTGCTTCAGGTATACCTGGTTTAGTTGGGGTATTCAAACAGGGTTTCACACTCGGTTTATCGGGGACTAAGGGTCTCTGTCGCACAGTAGAATTAGCAGCATTTGGTCTTCTTACATCCATTTTATTCACTGGACAGCCACTGGCTAATCGTACAGGCATTGGACCAGTAGGTCGGGTTATGCCAAGTGCTGGCCTAACAGCACCATATCCACTAGAAGGAGTCATTGAACGAGGATTTCTCACATTCACAACTTGGACATTGGGACGTCCAGCATTAAATAAATTAGCATGCATACGGCTGGCAGGTCGTTGAGGGTTGAAGTTTGTTCCGGGTCCCCGTCCACGAGGTTGTACAGCACCTGGAAACACACCAGCTGGAGCTTGAATCGTTGATCTCATGTTAGGAAAGTTTGGGCGATGACCAATGTTGGCAGCCACCTCAACTGGCCTGCCCGAAACTGCCACAGGAGGAGTTGGCCTGGAAAGCATGTTGTTGGGCTTGTTAGCATTTGCAATGTTCCCACTCTTTGAAGAAACATTAACATTTGCCTTTGATGCCACATGTCCAGTTTTGGCAGGTGCAGTAACAGAAGCAGTGCCAGTTGGGGTAACTTTCTTCAATGCACTTTTCACAGCACAACTGTTGCTGCCAGCACTTCCTTCTAGGTCACTTGTTCGGCAAGGCCCATCAGAAGGTTTTGTTGCAGTCTTTTGCGGAGTTGCAGTTGTCTTGCCTGCATTGCCACTGGCTACACTACTCACGCTCGTGCACTGGAGGATAGAGCCTTGACCACCACTGATTACTTTCTGAAGAAAAGAAAAACAAGATTGTCGTTAGCAAGTTTCAGACTTTTCAATTTGAAAGCAAAAGGATGGAATTTTGGAAACAATTTTATACATTTGAAAATTTATAATGACATTGACTGAAATCACAAGATAATAGAATATCATACTGAAGATTCCTTTTCAACTACCAAGAAGATTAATGCTCCACATTAAAGAGAGGGGTATACTTTCAAATAGTCATAAAAATCACTTCTATTTTAGAAGCAGACAGTCTATTATCAAAAGTGAGATCAGTTTAATTTTTGATAATAGCCTTAAATGACAACTATCTCAAAAGTTTCTTTTCTATGTAAAAATTTTGATTATACTGGAAATATTCATATCAATTAATGATAGGTTAATAGCAAAGAAGTTAACAACAGATTGTAAAAGAATTAAGCTTAAACAAATGCCGAGTTGTCATAAAAGGATATTACAAGAGCAATCCATACAACAGACATAATCTAAAAAGCACAAAGTTTGTTTAAAATGAATAACAAGTAGTGACAAATATGAAACAGAAAAAAAAGAAATATCAAGTTTTCCTGTTTTTAAAGCACCAGTAAGAAATAGCCAAGCAAAAGATGGTTTCAAAGTACCTTGGATAAGTACAGTTTGAAACAATCTTGGTACAATTAGCTAACCTCTATGGTTTGCCTTGGGAAATCAGGCTTCAATAAGAGGAGAGCAAGTATAACAATAAATCCTAAAAAAAAAAAAAAAAAAAAAAAAAAAAAAAAAAAAAAAAAAAAGAATCAAACCCAACTGTGATTGACTAAAAGTGAAAAATATCATGCTGATACATTTCTCACCGTTTAGCATGATTTACTAGCAAAAGAAAAAGAGAAAAAAATCTCAAGAGTTTTAGTAATCAACTCAAACATTGATTAGTATGTAAAAAGCCCAAAGATCTATGAAGACAAGAGGAGCAAGCAAAATATTAACTAGATATCAGCAACATGAAGAGAAAGAAATGAATAAGTGGAAACATTCTGAATAAGTATGGAGGGTTAAAAAAAAAAAAAAAAAAAAAAAAAAAAAAAAAGGGGGCTGTCTTTGGGGAAGATTCAAAAATGGAATTGAGTGGTCAGATGGCATCAGAGCTGCAATTTTTTTTCTAAAAGGCTCCAGATGCCATTTTTTGGAGACACACATAGGAGTTGACATGCAGTCAAGTGGGAAAAACAAACATGGTACAAGCTTTCTGGGAGATATGTTTAACCTAATCACTAACAGTAACAATGGAGCACAGGAAAATCCCCAACAAATGAGACACGCAAGCACAGCAATTTTAACATTGCAGTTGGGGTATACAAGGAGATGCTGAAAAATTCTCAGCCTAACCCATTTCCCAAAATCTGAGCAGAAGATCGAACATCAGATGAATTTTGAAAGGTCATCTTGGTCAGGATGAAAGATTTTCAGCAACTCTGTGTGTGTGTGTGTGTGTGTGTGTGTGTGTGTGTGTGTGTGTATATATATATATATATATATATATATATATATATATATATATCTATCTCCCTTTTCACTTTTTTTTTTTTTTTTAAAGAAATGCCTCAGTTTTAAACGTAAACTGTTTTATTTATTTTTTTTTTTTTTTAAATTTGTAATGAGATATGTATTTATACCAATCTACATTTAGTTTACTTGGAATAAATTTTCACTAAAAACAAAAAATGAAAATGAACAATATAGTGAACTTGGCCCTTTTTTGGAACGTTGTCATCATTGTTTCTCTTTGTAGGTTTCTCATCCTCACTTTGTATGGGGGAGAGTAAAACCAATTTAGATGTCAACTGATAACTGAGGTACTGGGGTAGCAGAGAGCGGAGGGGATTCAAAATTTAAGAAAAACAAAGATGAACATAATATTTCAAAGGAAAAAAAAAACATGTAAACTCACACAAGAACTGTTTCAGTTTATAAATAATGAATCGAGGCATTGTTTACATTTAAAGCATATTTATATTAAAAATGTAATAAAATTTGTGTAAGTTAATTTTGCTTTTAAAGAACATCCTGTATTCTACATTTTTTTGAGCATTCTATTCAACTCCTTATCCATTTAGAAATAGGCAAGATAAAAAATATTTTAAATATAAACTCTTTAAAATTATTTCTATAACTAATTTGAAGTGCTTGAAGCCTTCAAATTGGCATCAAAATGAGGTAAATATATTTTCCCAAATAGTCAGCCTTTGGGAAAAGATCTGAATGAAGTTAATTTTTATTTGAAATTCAAGGGGATGAAAAAGACAACAATGCATGCAGTTGTTGATATCATACAAAAATCCATCAGTGTCTCTTGTCGGAATTTGATCATTGCTTGTGTCCTACCCAAAAAAAGGAATAACTTTTTCTTCTTTTTGTCCTCACGGTGCTCAAATATATTTCTTTATACAAGAAGTCAACTAATAAACCATTATAAGGAAGCAAAACAAAGTAGGATGAATGAAAACAACAACTTCATGTTGAAGAATGTTCATTTTGGAGGCCTTACCCACCCAAAAAGGGAGTGGGGTGGATGGGAATGATTAATAAAATTCAATTTAAAAGAAAAAAGAAAAATAAAGTAGGTTTTATTTCACAATAGCGTTATGGAACCTTATCTAAATTTGATGAATATAATATAAAGAAGTTTGTCATCTATTATCCCATGCTTTTATTAAAGGCAGTTTATTATTATTATTATTATTATTATTATGATGAGTGAGCAAGAGAAACATATTCCTCAGCAGCAGTAGCAGCAGACTGTGCCTTTAGTGAGTGTTATAGTCAAATACGATTCACAAGACAATACAGCTTACTTTGGGCTCCAGTAGAGTAAATATCTACCAGGCTACCTCAGAGACCTGTCTAAAAGAGGAGGATGAGAGTCATGTTGGACAAGAATATGCAGTCAAATTCCTTAAGTTAAAAAGAAAATTGAAGCTAATTAACATGAGCATCATACAAGTTGATTTCTTTTTAATGTTAACACTAAGATATTTATTCAGGTTTGAAACTTTAGAAACAGAAATAGTTACTTGAATAGGAAAAATCATGAATGAAAACAACTTTTTTTTAAATTACAGGTTAATCAATGAATTTTTCATTTTAATTTTTTCAGCTAAAAAGAGGACAGTGACATTTTGAGAGAAAAAATTTGCTATATTTTGAAACTATTATTATTACTATTTGATTTTTTTAATTCACAAGTTTTCAAGCATGAGGTACAAAAATTGAGGGCTTGAATGTGTACATGCACCAACATTAATGAAGAAAGGTTAGATAACACCTTCAATATGACATGCAAAGTATAGCAGTAATTATAGTAGAAAGGGGGGAATTTATAAGTAAATAAATATTCAAAGAGTTCCTGAAATTTACAAAACAAATACATGCTTACAACATCATAAAACTCAATATAAAGTCTCACATTTGCTATATGAAACCTGTGGCAATTGACATTTTGTAAAAGAAATATAAATATGTAGTGTCTCATTAAGCCTAGATTTTTATAACCATATTGATTCATACTGGTTAAAAAAAAAAAAAAAAAAAAACTGCTGTCAAAGATTAAGGACACATTTTACATAATTCCCCATTTTAATGCAAGTAACTGTACTGTAGAGTCTAATTTTAAAATATGAAAATAGCTATGTATGGCTATTAATATTATCACCAAAAAGTCATTTGAATATATAATTGATAAAGTCATGAACAAATTTTACACAATTAAACAAATAGATAAGCAAAAATAATAATTCTTATTAATATGTAATAATTTTATAATATATAAGCAAAAAGAAAACAGGATTAGCAGATAGAATGAAAATTTAAAGGAAATGTTAAATTTTGTTACAGAATAAATGAACAAAGTTTTTTGAAATCTTTTACTTGCACTGGGTTAAGGTAGCAATAATGCTAAAAGATATAAATTGGTTACCATTTAGTGTTAAGGATTGAACAAATCTTTATCAAGAGAGTTAAATTTATGATTTGCATCGGTTCTTTGTGACCAATAACTCAACTATCTGAAAAAGAATTTTTTTTAATTACTTTTTCATTTTTAATTTGGGAGAACTAGGTAGGGAAGAGATAGTCATTTAAGTTATTAGTTCATCAATGGAAGTAACAAAATAAATTTTTATCGATATTATACAAAAGTACATAATACAAGTCAGATTGTTCTTGCCCCACCCCCACACAGTTTATAGAAATTGTAGCCAAATTATTTAGGATACGAAATTGTTTTACTAAATGAAAATATACACACAATATTATATCAACTCTTTTAAGTAGAAGAATAAAACAATATTTACAACAATTACATGTGCTCTAGAAAAATCTACATGGATAATTGGCTATATTGCGTAAATGGGAATAGCACAGGAACATCTATTTGTAAAGACTAAGCAAAATGATATCCAATTGAAGACACAAATTCAAATAAATGGGCACTGAGCACAATTGTGTTTTTGACATTTACGAAGACAGTTTCTTTGTTCAGTTCTTTCAAAGCTTTTATTGTTATGGTTAACAATTTAAGAAAATTAACAAAAATCTATGCCAAATATAAAATTTTTTTCAAATTATTTTGTCAATAGCAAAATTGGCTCAACAATGAATATATATGAAAGTCAACTGAAATGTAAAGCCAGTTGAAATTAGGCAAATTTTACATGACACACTATTGCTTGACTTCCAATTTTGCCCATTCCCATCATCCCTAGTAAAGAATTAATTGGAAGAACAAACATAAAACATATCCTTGGCTTGTTTTAAGTGCAAAACACAAAACACACACAGACACGCACACACACAAAAGAGTAAAAAAAAAAAAAAATCTAAAATAGACAAAAGGACAATTCACCAGTGCAGCATTAATTTCAAGTTAAAATATGGGGTGGGGGGAATTAGAATTCTAGTAATTTGTCTACAAGTTCACATCCAGTAAAAACCTCAGTTTTCAGTGGTATGATGAACCCATATGAACA